TTTTTTTAGAAAGACTTTCTATGCTTCAATCCTTGTTTGTCTAAGAGGTTTTTTCTTATTTGGAAACTGATTTGCTTCGGTTTGCACAGAAGCTGTCTCTGGTGTGATGGATCGTGCTGGAAGTCACCCAAGGAGTATCTCTGTTCCCAATTAGAAGTGGAGGCTGAGCTGCTTACAGGGGCCCGGGGAGGCGGCTGGCTTGGGTGACAGCTGCTGCCGCTCTGGAGAGAGTAACGATCCGTGGGTTTATATCCATGTGAATAAAATCAGGCTAATTTAAAGATGAATTATGTGTGTGTGTTTAGACCATTTTCTTTTAACGTTACATGTTGGATGGCTCCTGTCCGGTTATGTGGTCCCCAAATTTGTGCGAGGGTCAAAATGAATACGCTTATAAAGCATTTCTCAATCCTATATCCAGATGAGTTGTATTAGAATAAAACTGAATCAAGGAAATCCCTAAGGGCTTCATGGGGAATGTGTCTAGGACATACGTTGTGCAAGAGCTTGGACCCGTTACCTTATTTTTCCTTCACTCTGGGACCTCCTGTGGTCAGGAGCCAGAGAATGTACCCTCTGCTGCTTTGTTGGGAGGGCACTGGTTAGCCTGTCACTCTGACCTTGCCAGCTTTACCCATAGTGCTTTGAAACCAGGGTTTGCCAGGGGTCAGCGAGAATGCTGTTCTGGAATGGCGCTCAGCCGGGTATCAAGTAGACAGCATGAAGAACCATAGTTAATGTCCTTCCATTTTTTGGAAGCAAAATCATAGCACATGTTGCTTTTAATGCTATAAACCTGCACTGTTTAATACGGTAGCCACCAGCCACATGTGCCTATGGAACACTTGAAATGTGGCTAATCTGAATTGAGATGCTCTGTGAGTGTAGAATATACCCTAGATTTCAAAGACTTAATGTGAATAAAATAATGTAAAAAACCAGAATAATTTAAAAGTATTGATTGCATGTTGAAATGATATTGTTTTGGATGTACTGAGTTAGATAAAATATATATATTAAGATTAATTGGACCTGTTGCCTTTACTTTTGTAAATGTGGCTACTAGAAAGCTTAAAATTATATAAACGGCTTGTACTATATTTCCTTTGGACAGCACTGCTGTACCATTAAAATCAGAATCGTCCAAATTTTGATAGTAATAACATGTAGCATTTATATGGCACTTAGAACATCCCAGGCTCTTTACACATATGATCTCCTTTTGAATCTTAAGTTTTGAATAGAAAAAAAAGCAAAACAAAAATTCAGCCTCATTTCCTATTCTGTTTCTCATACTAGTTTTTGTGGATCTTTGTAGAATTTCTTTAAGCAGCGTATTACCATGTTTAATTCTCACACCAACTCTGTGAAATAGATACAGTCATCATCCCCGTTTAACACATAAGGAAACAGATGTAGAGGTTTAAGTAACTAGCCTGTGGTCCCTTGGCTAATAAGTGGCAAGGCCAGTATTTGACTCCAGGAGTTTCTGAAAGCAGAACTTCTATGAGCCAATTAAATATTTTGGTTAACTAGGTAAGGATAATGCCACTCAATTTCTCTGGAATTCTGGGAGTCTCTGTCTTTCTGTGCTCTACTTTCCTCAACAAGGGATTGGACTCAAGATGCTATTGGGGTTCCTCCTAGCTCTTTGCAGGTAAGAGAGCCCATTTCAGTCTTACCGTATTGGTTCTCATTTCCCTCTTTCTTCTGACACTGTGCCCGTCTTGTCAAGGACCAGAGAACTGAGCAAGTAGACTGAATGATGGGAAAGCAGGATGGAGGAATACTTAGCAGAGGAGGAAGGAGGAGCAGGAGAAGGAGGCGGAGGGAGTTCAGCAGTGATGGAAAGTTCTGTGTGGGCTCAGTACTGTTGTGTGGGGTGAACACCACGTGGGGATGTTCGTACACAGCTGAGCTCAGAACCGTGACACACACCTGCCCTCAGCCTCAGCAAAGATCTGCCTTTTATCCCGAAATATGAAAACTATGGAGAGGGTCTAGGAATGCAATGGATGTGCACAAAGATTAGGAAAAACCTTCCTTTTCATGGAAGGACCAACGCAAGGCAGAGTGAAGTCCATACAGTCTAGAGATTAGGTGAATGTAATTCTGAGGTAGATTGGGATCAAGGCTGGACTTTGCTCCTTACCAGCTGTGTGATATTAAGCAAGTTCTACACCTCCCTAAGCTGCAGCATCCTCATCTGTAAAATGGGACGATAACTGTGCTCACCTTGGGTGGCGGAGGGGATTAAGTGATAACACAGCAGTAACAGGTGCCATGTTGTGAATGTTTACCGGGTGCCAAGCAGTCTGCGTGTACACAAATGTATTAACACTGGTCAGGGCTCAGCCTGAGCCTGCAAACTACTACTAAAGATATAGCCAGTGGGGCTTTTGTCGCCCTGTTAACCATGTCTAGGAAAGATCATTTGGCTGCATTCTTGTCCTGTTGTGTGGCTTTCCGTGAAGTTACTTAACTTCTCTGAGCTTCAGGTGACTCATTTATAAAATGATTAAAGCAGATGATCTGTGAGGCCTTTTTCAGCTCTAAAATACAGTGCAATTCTGGAAATAGGATTTATTTAGTGTTGAGAAGGCTAAGGGGGATACTAGAATATGAACTTCATAGATATATATATATATATGTCATATATATATATATATATATGAGTATTAAAAGTTTGAAGGATGCTGAAGAGCTGTTTCTCTTTTGACTGAGGACGGGACATGAGGCGACACATTTTAATCATTTTAAATTAGACATTTGGAAGCCTTTTCTGACTTGGGAGAAAGAGTAATATGTCATCGGAGCAAGCTCTCGAGTTGCACATTGAACTCGTTGAAGCAGACTGTTGACTATTTTTCTGACACTTACATGTAACTTTATCACACAGGCCTCCCCTGACCCCCTGACCTAAAGTAAACACCCCCGCCTCCCACCATATTCTTCCTTTGCATTTCACTCTGTTTACCTCCATAGCATTTATGACATTTTTAAATTGCATATTTATTTTGTATTTAGCATTTAATGTCTGTCTCTTTAGATTGTAAACCATCTAGAGGCCTGGCTGGTCGTTATTTGGTTCACCTCCTATATACCAAGTCCCAGCACAGTGGTTGTCACATAGCAGGTGGCAGTAAATGTTTGTTGAATGAATAGGTGAGTGAGTTTCAGAGGTGGCTGATTTGGTGCTAGTGCTTTTTGATGGAGATGGATCCTCTGTTTGACTTTCATGTTAAGAAAACTCCCAAAGTCCTTATCTCTCAAGGGACTTTAGGTACTGTTTCTCCTTCCCGCCATTGTATTCTGGGGGCTGGTCACACATAGGTGTAAGTTTCTTTAGTTTTAATGGGCTGCCCCAGCACTGAGCACCGAGCACCGTGGGCTGGTCAGCCTGTGCCTGGTTCTGGTGGAGGAGATGGGGGGAAGGTGGAGTTCCACTGGAGGCACAATAAAGGCCAGTGGAACACAGCTTGATTGTGCTGGTTATTTCCGTGTACTCCCCCAGATCCGCCCTTTGTCCTTCTTTACACCGCCCTGTGCCCTGGGAAGCTGACCCCGGTGGCTGCATCAGTGAGGCTCCCTTGCCCTCTGGCTCCTGGTTGAGGTTGGCCATTGGCCAATGGGAGGGCAGAGCAGGAAGACGAGGATGGAGGGAGAAAGAGATTGGGCCATGTGTCCCTGCGCCCGGTTCTCTGGCATGCGCGCTCAAGAGCCATGCTGCAGCCACAGCCCCTACTGGGAGCACTCCATGGCACACTCTCTAGGTCTCGCAAACGCTCTCTCTGTCCCTCCGGGAATAGCAGTGCTCATGGCTCCCTGCTGTTAATTCCCCTGGGTGCTTCACCATTCCTTGTTGTCCCTTACTCCTGTCCACACCTCTGTAAACAGTCCTCACACTGAACTCTGTACAAATGGGCCGTTCACTCCCATGACTGTTTGCTTGGGCACCACACCCTCAGATCTTGCACCCATCTTAACCTGATGCAGGGAGGGGACTGTGCATCTAATCACAGTGGGGTATGAGGTACAGGATCAGAGGAGAGGTTGGAGGAATATTTTGTAGTAAATCCAAATGTGATCACCTGTACCTGAGGTTTCTGTTTCTGGGGAAATACAAAAAAATCCCCAAGAACCTACTTTGGGTTACAATTTGCGGGGATGTCATGAGAAGGGAGCTCTGTTTCTCCCTTGGTTTCTCTCATGGGCCGGGCTGGCTCTGGCTGCCACTGCTCCAGTGGCCCCATGACCTCGAGCCCCAGGAAGCCCATCAAACTCTGATGCCTTCAGAACAGATGCCCCGGCGTGCGGGCACTGCCGCTCCCAGCTGCTGGTCTGGGGCCTGTGAGGCATCTGCCCTCGTTCTTTTTCTTCCCTTGGCTTTAGAGGCCTTTACTTCCCTGGTGAGTTGATTAGAACAGCCTCTCTGAAGTTGAAATTGCTTTTCGTGGGGTAGACTGGAGCTGGGCAGCCAGCATGGCCGGGGGAGGTCGTGGAGTCACCAAACAAGAGCTGGCCTAGAGGGAGAGGATGATAAGACCGAGACCGACATTGGTGTACCGCTTTAGAGTGTTCAAAGCACTTTAATGTGAAGGAACACATTTATGTGCCACGAAATGGCCTCGTGGGGGGCTGGGCATTGTCACCCTCACTTTGTAGATGTGGAAAAGGGCTCGGGCATCCTCCAGTGCCTCGCCCAAAGTCACAGGGCTGGAGAGTGGCAGAAACAGGACGGAGACCCAGGTCATCTGACCCCACGTCCGTCTGGCGCCCTTTCTGCTCTGCTTCTGCTGTCTCTGAGGGAGCAGGCAGGGTTGGGCTCTGTCTCTGGGACTGTGAGCTGGAGACAGAAAAGCTCCAGTGTTGGGAGGAGAGAGCCCAGGCTGTCGAGTCCTCCCCAGGAGCTCCAGTTCCTGCAATGCCCTTGGGGGCCCCTCCTCCTGTCCCTCCTGCTTCGAGTGACCTGAGGCTGCTTTTCTGTCCTTGCTTTTCAGAAGTGGAGCTGCCCCTGAAGAAGGATGGGTTCACCTCAGAAAGCACCACCCTGGAAGCCTTGCTCCGCGGGGAGGGGGTCGAGAAGAAGGTGGACACCAGGGAGGAGGAAAGCATCCAGGAGATACAGGTATTTCTGTGCTTGCTGGGGGGACGCCCCCGAGCACCACCGCTGTGCTCCTGAGAACTCCAGCCCCGGCTCTGGTCCTCCTATCACGGAACAGGGCTGTGCCTCAGCTACTTCGGGGCGCCTTTGCTGGGGAGCTCGCAAATTCTTTTCTGATTTAACCTGTCCCCGTTTCCCCTCCTCTCCCTGTTTATCCATTCAAAATGCAGTTTGGGAGCCTACTGTGCAGCAGGCACTGTTCTAGGTCCTGGGGGGTGCAATGGTGAGCAAAACAGACTGGGTCCTTTTCCCCAGGGAGCTGAGAGTCCACAGTCCAGCTCTGAACTCTCGGTTGTCTGCACCAGCCTGTCCAGAGTGATTCCCTTCTCCACCCCATCCTCGGCACCAGTACACCAGCCGTCTTATCCTTTCACATCACTGCCCACTCCTTCTTCAAGGCCAGTTTCGAAGTCACCTTCCTGGCAGGGTCAGTGGCTCCTGTCCCCGTGTGTTCACCATCCTCTGTGCACAGCGGTACTAAGGCGGTCACCATGCAGGGTCACCATTCAGGATTATAATGGTGCACTCTGACTGTTTCTTATTCATTTTTCTTGACTCCCCAATGTCGAATCCAATGGTTGGCACAGAGGATTGTAATAATATTAATTAATACAAATAGACATAATAGTCCTAAATATTAAACATAATTAAATTATTAAAGTTAAATTACATTTATACTTTATATTGAATTTTTATATTTTATGTTGTACAGTACATATGATAAAATTATGTTTATTAATTTTACTTCCAATTTAATATTTACAGATTAATTTATTAGCATTATAATTAAATTACTAACAGTTACATTTTTGGTTTGCTTTGTAAGTAGCACCAGTGTGTGAATTTCACTGAGTCAGGGACCAGGCAGGCGGTAGTGTTCACCATCGTACCCTGGGGGCCTTGCACCTTTGGGCAGAGTCAGGTGTCCCTAAAGGCAGTGAATGAGTCAATGAATGTGGCCTTCTCTGCTGTTCCTGCGTTCAGATGAATCTTTTCTATTCAGTCGAGTCTTTTCTATTTGGTTGTCACAACATGGCTTATCTTTGCTCCCTCCTCAACTCTGAGCCCCAGCCCCAGTAAAGATCCTTATTGACTGTGACCTTTGTTTGACACACTTTGGAGTTGTCTTCAACCCCAGTCCTTCTCTCACACCCAATATCCATTCATCAGGAATCCTGTCCGCTGTGCCCTCAATGTAAATCCAGAGCGTAGCCCCTTCTCACCACACCCACCTGGTCCAGGGCACACGCATCTCCCGTCTGAACTCTTGCGGTAAAGTGATCCCCCTACTGATGGTTGAGAGGGAGCCCTTGCCATGCTCAGAACCCGCGCTGGCCCCTGTTCTCTGGAGTATGAGTCACGGCCCTCCTACCTCTCTCCAACTCACTGCTTCCTCTCTTCCTTCCTTCCTCACTCGTCTCCAGGCCACCACCTCCTTCTGCTGCCCCCCCCAACACACTGGCCCGCTCCACCCTGGGCTTTGCTCTGGCTGTAGAGTCCTCTCCCCACACATCTGCTGGGCTCTCACTCTCACCTTCTTCAAGGTTTTGCTCCTGTCCCTCCTTCTCTGTGGAGTTGACCCTGACCAGTGTGTGCAACACCACATCCTGTGCGCCTGATTCTTACATGCTTTCCTCTCTCCTTTTCCCCTGTAGTTTTGTCACCATCTAACAGACTTCATAGTTTTCTGATTTATTATGCTATGGTTTATTTTCTCCTCCAGTAGCATGTAAACTCCTCAACGGCAGGCCTCTTTGTTCATCTCGCTCACTCATGTACCTCAAGCACCTATACACTGCCTGACACGTAGTAGGTGCGCAACAGATGTTTATTGTGTGGGTGCACGAGTGAACAGATTCCTAAGAGTTGCCCGTCCTTGGTCCGTCCCTTCTCCGACATGTCCTCCTCTGCTAGCTGACCTTTCATCCCCAAACACAACTCTGCTTGTGCCACGCCCTTGTTTAAAAAACTTGGCTAAAACACTTTTGTTTCCTGCTAAATAAATCTGAAATGATGAGTGTGATCGTCTTGAGCCCCCTCTCCCTGCTCCTAACCTAGTTTTCAGGCTTATTTCCCACAGTTCCTTTACTCCCTCTGTTCTTCAGCCTCTTCCCTCCGTGCCTCTGGTCATGCTGTGCCCTTTATCTGGCGTAGCTTTTCTTCCATCTCCACGTGCACAAATTCCACCCATCTATTAGGCTCAGCCCTGTTACCACCTTCCCCATGAAGCCTTTCTTGATAACCGCCCTCCCTTTCCCCCAGTTCTCTTTTTACCACCGGCATTTAGGGCACCTGGGAGTTTCTTCTTCTTCTAATTCCTTTTTTTTTTTGCTATTCATGTATTATCCCCCATTTTTGGACTTTCAGATCTTTGAAGTCAATGTCTGTCCCATCTAGATTGCCCATTAGAGTAGTTTTTGCTTGGTTAGTGTAATTTGACCGAGTCAGTGAGTGGGACAGAACCATTGCCCAGAAGCCTTGATGCTCCAGTGACAGTCAGCCCTTTCCCTTTCGAGCTGGCAGTGGGTTCAAGTCCTTCTCAGGCAGCGTTGGGCCAGTATATGGGTTGTCGTTGTTGAATCATTATCATCACCATCATCCCTGATGTAAACTGAATGCCTACTATGTGCAAAGCATGAAAGCCACCATCTGCTGTGCTAGAAGCCAAAACCAGGACCAAAAGCCAGATGAGTTTACATGTTCTTATTGGCTTTGATTATTAAAATCAAGTGCACATCTAGCAAATGGTCTGTTTTGTTCATTTTCCCATTCATTTATTTGCTCCATCAAAGTTTATCGAGTGTCTCCTCTGAGCAGGCGTGGTGTCGGGTTCTGGGGAAATGGAGAAACCAAGAGAGACCTGTCCCCTCCACTCATATTCTGTTGTGACATAGAGACAGAAAGCAAGGACACAGACAAAATAATTGCATTTCAGGATACTTGCCTTGAAAAGAACAGAGCATGAAGATTCAGTATAAGAGGAGGGACAGATTCTAGGTAGTGTCCTAAGGGAGACAGGGACTTAACTCAGTCCTGTGAGATGAGAAGGAGCTGAGCAAGTGAGGAACCTGGGAAACAGCCTTCTGGGCAGAGGAAAGTGCTCCTGAAGGCCTCGTGATAGGTCCCAGCTCATCGTGTTGAAAGAACAGACAGAAGGCCGGTGTGGTTGGTGCACAGAGCTGAGGAGAGAAGGGCCCTGGCGAGGTGGGCAGGGCCAGACCTGCAAGAGGCTCTCGGTTTCATGAGACATGAAAAGGAAGCCATTTGGAGGATTTTAACCAGGGCAGTGAGTGTGTGTTTCCTCCAGATCCCTCCAGCCACTATGTGGAAGAAAGACGGGATGCAGGGCCCGCAGTGGAAGGAGGGAAATCAGCTAGCAGGTTTTCGCACTGTTTCAGGCCAGAGATAATGGAGTCTTTAAAAGGGAATTCCTTCTTTTTTTAAACACACACACACACACACACACACAACCATGAACCATTGTTAGCATCACTGTAAAGACTGTTTAGAGTAACAAGGAGAAGAGTTATTTTAAAATGTGTTTATTTTTCAGATAATGTCCTTGGACAGGGAATGCATGAGTTACCGGGGGATCAGCCGCATCTCTAGTTGGACACCCTTGCCCTTCGTTGCTAATACAGGACGCCTCCTCTGCTTCCTGAGCCCTGAATAGAGCTTTGTTTGTTAGGAACTCCCGGCTCCTCCCGACTTATGTAGAGAGGCCTCTGGTGTCAGGGCCACGTTGCAGGAGATGCAAAAACACAGGGAATGCTGCTGTCACATCTGAGGCCTGGGGCTTGGACTGGAGGTTCTAGAGATACAGGGAAGCCAGTGGGAAGAGAGAGAAGTCAGCTTACTCCAAGACACTGAGGCCATGTGGCACGTCTGGGGACTAGTGCAACTAGTGCAGCTGCCTTCACTGATTTTTCACCTTCCAACCCAGAGTCCATATTGCAGGCAATAAATACCTTCATAATGAAAAACGAGCTTGGAGTCAGAATGGCACTGAGATGCCAGAGGCAATGACCTTTAAATTCGAGGCACTTGGAACTTACCATGATTAAATGACTTCAAGACCCAGAAAGTTAGCGATGGCTATACAAACAGCAACCACAGGCACAACAACACCTCGTATTTATCCTACGTCTTTGCACGGAAGACTTGTCATCGTATCACTAGTGTCCCCACCTACAGTTCAGAGAGGCTGGCCTAGCTGTGGGCCAGAGGTCGTCTCCAGCTGCTGCTGCTGCCTTGTCGGATGGCGAAGGTCGGCCCGGAGACCCTAAGTGCTGCCAGCTGACGACTTTCCACAAAAGCATAGCAGAGAAGCCAGACAAGAATTTACTAGTCCCGTTTTGAGTTCCTTGGGAGGATTTGGTAATTGGCAATATCCTGACCCCTGTCATGGGAATGGGGCTCTGTAACAAGAAGCAGCGGGAGAATCTCGCTGGAAACTCGCCTCTGGGCTTCCTGCTCGGAGGACAGGCCAGAGGCGTCGTTAGGATGCTGCCTGAACAGTGATGGTGATCCCAGAAGGCGGTACCGTGCATACTGCTTTCTAAGCCTTTTCCCAGCTTGTGTGATTGTCGTATCATCACCACAAGGATGGGTGGATGCTGTTATCCTGTACAATTTGGTGCCCACCTGCCTTTCTAGCATCATCTTATGCCAGTCTCTCCCTGAGACACTGAACTCTCATCGCACTGGCCTCTTTCTGCTCCCTGGACAAGCTATGTTCCCCTCCCTGCATCAGAGAGCTTGCTCATGCTGTTCCTTCTTCCTGGAATACTTTTTCTCCTTCCCTCCCCCTGGTCCCTATTCCCAAGGTTAGTCTCTGTTCATCCTTTCCATCTCAACTCTCTTAGTTCATTTCCTCAGGTAAGCCTTACCTGACCTCAGATTAGGTAAAGTTCCCTTCTAACAGCCTGTCTTAGAGCCTTGAACTTGCCTGTCACAGTTTGCATAGCAGTTGTAACTATATGGTTATATACGTGGTTTGAATCTGTCTTCCCTTCATTAGACTGTAGAGTCCATTTGGGGCCAGGACTATAGCTGTTTTGTGGCTGGTCCAGCACAGCACCTGCCATGTCATCAGCCCTGGACAAATGTTTGTTGATAGAATGAATGAATTCCTATTTGATAATTGGGGGAATCTGAGGCATGAAGTGATGAGGACTCACCCAAGGTCACACAGTGAGCCTGTGAAGAACACCCAGGGTTCCTGACGTGGAATCCAGTGAGCTCCATGCTCTTCCCCTTCCCCAACTTCCAGTCTGGGGGCTGGGTCCTTTTCCCTCCCTTAAACCTAGAGATACACACCTTACCTCCCCTTTCCTTCCCTCCCCCAAAGGGAGTGAAGTGCTCAGGTCCTATAGGAAGTACCATAATACACCTTGGAATTCTCAGACACAAGGGCTGAGAAAGAGATGGAAAGCTCTGAGCTGATGAACCTGACCTTGCTTTGGATGCGCTGTGTGATCCTGAGCAGTCGAAACTTTCCCGCCTCAGTTTGTTTACCTAAAAAGAGATTGGATTCTCTGCTGCAGTGTGACTCACAGGGCTGTTAGAATTAAATTCATGATCTTTAAGCTCCATTACAAGTAATGTGCTGTAATGAAAATCCATTTCTCTTAAAAAAAAAAGATGGAAGATGATTAATGACACATTAATGTCAAATTCTGGTGAGATGAACAGGAAGTTACTTGTTCTCATCAAACAGGGCAGGGTTCCAGGATGCCAGGGAAAGGAGAAACACATTTTCATCTTTGAGGTGGCCCTTTAGGAACAAGAGGACAATTACATTAGAGTAAGTTTTGACCAGACATCCTGGGCCCACGTAGGAGAGTATCCCTGCCAAAGTATTCTCTTTTTAGAAAACACTTCTTGGGCAAATAGAATTGAAAAAGGTCAGCGTTCTGGGAGAATGTGGCTGACACGGTCCTGGGGGTTTGAGAGAGAGATGGTACCGCCGAGAGCTCCAACTCCGGGCCAGCATGTTGGAGGCCTAGCTTCCCAAGCAATGGCTGCATCTTCACTGTGTTAAAAAAAAATACCAAAAAATCAGAACACCCCAAATAACCCTCTGATGGTTTTCTCCTTCGCATTTTATTTCTCATCCCCTCTATTTTCTTGTCCTTTCAGAGGGTTTTGGAAAACGATGAAAATGTAGAAGAAGGAAATGAAGAAGAGGATTTAGAAGAGGATATTCCCAAGCGGAAGAACCGGACCAGAGGACGGGTAAGCTGGGAATGCTGTGAGGGGGCAGAGAGATCAGGGAGGCTGGCGCCTGGTGAACAGCCAGTCCCCAGGTCCAAAGGCCCACTGCAGCTAGCGGGGAGGGCACAGCTCAGTTGTAGAGTGCGTGCCTAGCTTGCGTGAGGTCCTGGGTTCAATCCCTAGTAACTTCATTAAATAAACAAACAAATCTAATTACCTCCCTCTCCACCCCCACAAAAAAAAAAGTAAGAAAAGAGAAAAACCAAAGTCCCACTGCAGCTAGACAGAAGTCGCATCCATGGTCTTCCTGTAGAGCACCCAGAGAGGAGACCTGCAGATGAGCGTATATCCCAGGTGATAACCTGCAAGAGTTTAGAGCTGGCACGAGAGGGAAGATGAGGCAGAGGGCGCCCCGAGGGGGATGGGGAGGGTCTGGGGAAGTGGGGTGGGGTCTGGATTGGGGTGGAGGATGAGGAGCCTGGGACTGCTGTCCCCATTCCTCAGTCGTAGAAGGAGGCTGAAAGCATCCTGTCCCCGGGGCCATCCCAGAATGACAGGGCGAGGACACTTGCTTTGGGGTGTGTTTCACTAGGCAGAGAGTGGAGCAAGCTGGGAAAGCGTGGGGACCATAGCTGATGATTCCCAAGTGGGTGTGGCAGGGGCTTTGGAGCCTTGTGGGCCTGGAATGTGGCTAGAAAAGGCCAGAAGCCTGGGGAATGGCTGAGGGGAAATCCGTGGTAGAAGGAATGAAAATATGACGGTGACCCTTGAGGGGAGGGAGCCAAACCTGAGTGGTGCTCTCAGGCAATCTGGTTGGTCCTCCAGAGCCCCCAGGTTCAAGCCCGAAGGGGTTTTCTGTGGTCACCTTCAGGGGTCTGTGCGAGTGTCTGATAGTAACCAGGTGGAACGGGATCCCTGAGGATGAACTGCTCTGGGTCCGGAGAATCACACTTTGAGGCCTGCCCGGCTCCTTCAGGCTCTAGGCAGGATGCTTACCCCTCTCATGGACAAGAGGCTAGTCCTGGATGCCCTCTGGGCTTGTGATAACTGCGCCAAGCCTCTCTGTTCCTGTGGCTCTTGTGCCTGAATATACATCAGAATCACCACGAGAGCCTATTGGAATGCAAACTCCCAGGACCCACTCCCAGAAGCTCTGATTCAGGAGGCGGTGGGGGGAGGCCTGGGGAGGCCTGGAGAGCTGTATTATAAGTAAGCCCCTAGGTGACTGGTGCAAACGATCCGGTGCTGCCCACACTGAGTGACGATGCTCCGGCGCCGATGGGACCTGGAACTTCTCCATCTGGGCAGGGCAGCCCTTTGATGCTGCACACCGTATACAGTCAGCACCCAGTTTCAGCAGTGATCTGTATTTTGACACTCTTGTTTTATCTATTCTTTACTCCCATGTGTTGTTAGTTTGTATGTTTTTTTTCTCGGTTTGTTATTTTGGTTTTTTGGGTTGTTTTGGTGGAGTATTTGAAAGCAAGTCCTAGACATTTTATCTTTTATCCTGCTCACACTTCAGTGTATATCTCTAACAGGTATCATTATTGTACTCAATAAGAGTAACTATTCTAATATCTATTATCCAGTCCTTAATCATTTCCCACTGATTTTCTCAAAAATCCCTTTTTACAGTTGGATTGTTTGAAACTTAAGTCTCTGGTATTCTATAATCTACCCCTTCCTTGCTACTCCCTACCACACACACAGTTTTTTCTCCTTGCTCTTTGTTTGTTGAAGAACCTGGGAGGCTGGTCCAGTAGAATTTCTCATATTCTAGATTTGGCAGACTGGTGGTGTTTAATGTGTCCCTCCATTCTCTTTATTTTCTGAAAACTGGTGGTTTGATGAGATACTTGATTTGTGTGTGTGTGTGTGTGTGCGTGTGTGCATGTGTGTGTGTAAATATTTTTTGGTGGAGCTAGAATCTTTCCTAGCTGTGATATGTGCTTCTTATTGCTTCACATCCAGAGACATATGCTGTTCACTTGTTCTGTCTTCAGTGGTGGTTAAGTTGATCATGGATTTAGGTGTTGTCAGCTTGATCTCTCCTTAGAAAGTACCCCATCATGCTGTCACCTAATCATCTTAGTGGCCACTGATGAACTTGCCTGGACTCATGACTGCATTGGGGGTTACAATATAATGAATTTCTAATTCCATCATTAAAAGCAGTTTTAGAGTGTGGAGTTTATTTGCTGTGTACCTCTGGGTCTGCTTCCATCCCTTCCCTTAACCCAAACCAAACTTACTGCAACCTAGACATTGAACTTATGGTCAGCAAACATGAATGGTGTCTCTTCTCTGTAAGAACACCAGCAGAAGCGGCAGCCCCTGCCGTTTGAACTTTCTGTAGGCTTCCTGTCCACCAGACAATGTGATGAGGCTCTTTACACTTCTGTTGGGACTGAGAGGCAGTCTAAGGCTGTACACCTCAGTGCCTGGTGGTCCCTGAACCACAGCATCAGTGTCACCTGGGAGCTTGTTAGAACTGCAGAGCCCAGCCTCCACCCTAGATGGACTGAATTAACACCTGCACTTTAACAGGACCCCCAGGTGCTTTGTGTGCTCACTGAAGAAGTTAAGGCTAAGGTAGTGATGACAAGAGCAGTCTCTGCATTGTTTGAACCATGAGTTCAAATCCCAGCTCCACCACATACTAGGCTTTGGGTGAGTTATATAACTTCTGTGACCTTGACCAAATTATATAAGTATTCCAGGTCTCAGTTTTTGCATCATTAAAATAAGGGTAATAATATGCTACCAATTTTGAGTACTTAATAAAGGCTAGATGTTTCTAGGAGGGTGCAAGCAAAGGGAATAACTTTCAGAACTTTGACAATGGAGATTCCCTGACAGGTGAGGGAAATTCAGACCTAACAATTAATAACTGTGTCTATGGCAACTTGAGCCTAACAAATCACCGCTCTTTAAATTTCATGAAATTCCTGTGAGCCATCCATGTGAGGATTATCATTCAGTTGATCAATCAGTATTTGTGATGCACTGTGGTGCAGCCCGGTGCATCTCAAACTTTAATGTGCATGTAAAGCACCTGGTGATCTTGTTCAAGTGCAGTTCTGATGCAGTAGGTCTGGTGGGTGGGGACTGAGATCTTGCTTCATTAGCAAGATCCCAGGTGATGCCAGTGCTGCTGGTCTGAGCACCGCACTTTAAATAGCAAGAGTTTAGAGCAAAGGTTCTCAGTTTTTTTGGTCTCAGGAATTCTAAATTTAAAAATTACTGAGAGCTCCCAAAGCTATTGTTCTAGTGGGTTATAACTAGTGATACTTCCCATATTAAAAATTAAAACAGACAAAATGTTAAGAATACACGAGCACTCAGAGTGATGGCACCATCATATCAGGTAGCCTCTGGAAAACTCCACTGTGCATTTGTGAGGGAATGTGAGTGAAAACTTTCAAGTAACATTTTAGTACTATTACAAAAATAGTTTGGACATTGCAGACCACTGAAAGGGTCTCAGGGACATCTCCCCACCCCAAGGATCCCTGGACCACTATTGAGAACAACTGCTATAGAGCAACTAGCCTTCTGCTTGGGGCTGAGTCTGTCCTAGTCGAGAGTTGCAGGAAACTCATGACTTGAGCACAAGTGGGAAATATTTGAGAAGCTGTTGGGCTATTGCCCCACATCTGAGCAATTTTTAAAGATTCAGGCAGGACAAGAAAGTGACAGGGATTTAGGATTAGGAAAGTGTAAGGAACCCAGGCAGCTTCTGGCCTCAACTTCTCCCTCTTTCATTCTTTTCCTGTGAGATTGCCTTTCCTGCTTCTCTGTGCACATGGCTCCATAGCTTCTGAATTTATGAGTCCCCAGTTCAAGTGACCATTTCCCAGTTCAGAGTCCCTTGGAGGCAGAATCTGATTGGCTCAGCTTGGGTCAGGTGTCTCCTCCTGAACCAGCCTATCATCTGGTGGCCAGTGGGGCAGGGCTGTGTGGTACAGTCGTGGCTGCCGTGGCCCACCAGTGTGTGAACGGGGAGGTGGAGCAGGGAAGGGTGGCATGGGATGGGCAGTTCTCAGAGAAGGGACACTGATTTCTTTTGGACGTCAGCTTCAAAGTTTTCTGTAACAGATCCTGGAAACCTGGGCCTCTGCCTTCTACTGGCCTTGTGACTAAGGACAAGTCATGAACCTTCTCAGAACCTGTTTCGTTAAGTGCTAAATGAGAGTCATAATATTACTTGGTTAAACTCAGATGGTGTTGTTGGGATTAACTGAGCTAATTTATGTGAAAGAGCTTTGGACGCTGTGTGCCCAGCAATAGTGCTACATGTCAGGAGTTCATAATAAAGTATGAAGTGCCATCTTTGTCCTCCAGGATCTTGGAATTTAATTGAGGAGAGAATGCTAATAGCCATGATACAATTAGAAAGCAGCAGGCTTCTGACTGTGCACTAACCAAACGCAGTAAGAGTTCAGAGAAAAGAGAGATCAACTGGGCAAGGGGGGGAAGGAATTTATCGAGCACTTCCTGTAGACCTAGCGCTGTCCCCTGTGGTTTCGCACCTCTACAACAACTGCAGTAAAGATGTTGCTCTGCCCATTTTACAGCTGAGAAAACTGATGCTTAAAGAAATAACTTGTCCAAAAACACATAGCTGGTGTTTAAGCCTATGTCTGTCTGACTTTAGAGCTGATGCTAGTTTTACTTCTCAATGTGGCAAGAGGAAGATCCTTGCAGGAGTGGCGTGTTAGCAAAACTAAAGCTTGCACCAGATGTGGATGGGCAGAGGAGAGGCTGGTCCATGACAGGGATCAATAAAAACAAAGACTTGGATATAGCATGAGCATGAGGTCATCCTGGTAGGATTGGCACTAGGTTGTCATCGGATGTGTCAGTGAGTTTTAGACGGCAGTGAATGAATGTGTAAATGAATGAATGACCACGGGCTCCTGTCCTTTACTCTTTTTGCCTCGTTGGTCTGGGAGTCACGCAGGATGGACTGGGTAGGGCAACGCGGAGGTAGAACCCTAGCTGGTGGGTTCTTTGAGCAGTTCCGGGGGTTAATTGATGAGCCCCTGGATTAAGATGTGAAATTGAAGGGAAATGCCTTTGGAGGAAGACACAATAGTACTTGGATACAGAGAATGAAGGAGAAGAAACAGATGACTGACTTACTGACCGGCTGACTGATGGATTGATTCATTTATTCAGCAAACATTTATTAAGTAAGTGCCGCTTATGTGGCTGGCTCTGTGTCAGGTTCCGGGCATAATGGTGGCCCAAATAGGCATGTTTTCCACCCTTATGTGGGGAGACAGAAAACCAGCAAGTACACCAACACATGTATGGTATAATGTCAGACAGTGCCAAGTGCTAAGTGCTGTGACAGAACCTGAAGCTGGGTAAGGGAAAGAGGACGATGGAGGGGAAGCGAGAACATACGTTGGTCAGGAGGGCTTCCCTGAGGAGGTGACATTTGAGCAAGACAAGTAGGATTCTGAGTTTCCAGGAGACTATGAGGTGCTGCAGCCACAGGAAGCACCCCTGGCCTGTCCCCTCAGTGCCCTATAGCCATGATCCCTGTTTCGCAGTTGAGGAAACTGAGGTGCAGGGAGAGAGTGGGGGCAGCGGCCACCCTGCTGGCCAGCCCTGTGCGTGAGATTAAACCCTGTCTCCGGGCTGCTCCCCCAGAAGCCCGGTGCTTCCGGCTCCAGCGCTCCTCCTCGTCTCCCCGCGGTATTTTTAGTCTCCCAGAGCCCCTGCCCGGCTCTGCTGTTGCCTCTGTCATTCTGCTTGACTTGCTTTCACTTGCTCAGAGGCGGCAGTGACAAGGCTGTGGGCTGCACACATCAAGCTGTCCCCGGCTTCTCCGAGGGGGCGGGGGGTGGTGGTGAGGGCTGCTGAGGGTGACCACCCTCGGCGTGGGCAGGCGGGAAGGCCTGTCAGTGCCTGGGGGTGACGGCCAGTGCCGCACAGCTCCCTCTTTGGGTCACCTCTGAGTCACGAGGGCGAGGGGAGGGGGCTGCTGGCTGTCGTGTATTCAGGGGTTGGGGGTGGGGAGGCAAAGAGGGACTGAGCCCTGGAGGGGAGGGGAGGAGAGGGGTGGCATTTTGTAATTCGTTTTGGAGTGAGACAGCTGAGGAGGTGGTGGTGCTGGTAGCTTGGAGGTGGTGTTGATTGTGAGGTGTGTGTGTTTGGGGAGAGTGTGAGCATCGTGGGGCAGGGGGACAGGCCTTTCCACTGTGGTGTCCCCAGTGAAAGTGTGTGTGTGTGTGTGTGTGTGTGTGTGTGTGTGTGAGAGAGAGAGAGAGAGAAGAGAGAGAGAGAGAGCGCGCGC